TCAAACCAAATAAGTTTGTTAAATCAGGAGCTGAAGAAACCTTCCTATTCAGACAAGAGGAGACTACAGGTAGACGTGGCAGTGAGCGGACTGTAAATAAAGCGTTTTACTATCCTGTCTCATTGTAGTTATTTCCTGTGGTTATTTCTTTATGGCTCTATGTTGTGACTTTTGAACTAAAATCGTTGAAAGTTATTTGATTTCTGCACAAAACTTGGCAGTTATTTATTATGTAAATATTATTATAAAGAAAAATAAAATGGATTAAATAAAAATAATGTACTTAATTATAATCTTAACATTTTCACTGTCCGGTTGGCAAACACAATAGTAAGACAATAGCAGTGCCCTATATGTAGTGCACGGGACAACAAAAGGGTTAAGAAGTGCTAAAATTATAGAAAGAGAATAATTAACAGAATATTTTTGTATACATGTATTCATTTTTAAATAAAAATGGAACAGAGAAGAGAAAAAAGTATGTCACTTTCTTCAAATTAGACCTAAGGATCTAAAAAAGCTTGATCAGCATGTTTGATGGCGATCAAAGTATTTCAAGTTTATTTAATATATTATAAGATTTTTTATGGCATCAACAAGATTATACATACAAACTAAATAATATTATATATAACAAATACCTTATGGGATAAGATGCATCTCTTTTTAAGTGAAAGATTCTGGTGATTCTAGATCAAATTGAAACTGAATTAGAAAATATTCTTAGTGGTTTTAATACCTACTTAAAAAAAATTATAGTTAACCAACTTCACAATCCATACATAATAATTCACAAGGTTTTAGATATCCATTCGTTTTGCAAATAATTTTAATTAGATTTAACCACAACATCAAATTTAGAATTACATGTAGCAGAAAACAATTCCTATGCCCTTATAATATTAATATTGGTGTGTTACTTAGAGATGGCCATCTCAGTGTAAGTGATGAAAAGTGGATTATAATTAAAGTTTCAGATTTAAATGTTTCGCATGAGCAGTTAGAATTGAATATTAATAGATACATGAACTTAAATACTTAAATAAGCATGTTAGAATTATTTTGACAAAAAAATCTCTAAACATTCAATTAATTATTATAATATTTCAAACTGAATTCGAAACAAATTCCAGTATTGAACAATTTGAACAGTTATCACCTTAATTTAGAGTCAAACAAGGCATTCTAAACTCCCTAAGATATATTATTAAGATTATTACTGGTGACTTCGATTATAAAGATGCTATAAAGTATGAAAATATGATTGTTAATTTAAAAATTCGTCAATACACACTAGTGAACAAGATTACCTTAATGAAATAAATAGAATCACTTGTTAAAATAAGTAACATTTATAAGAAATAATTTTATCAAGATTAATTCAAATTCAATTCTTGTGAATACAAGTAAAATAGTACAGGTAACATCTTTGAAAAAGATATATGTCATTGTTATATGCCTATCATTTCTTAGTTAGATATGTTTTAAATTATTTTTAAATTTATAAATATCCTCCATTTCATGAAACATAGATGGAACTTTATTGTTGTTTTTAAACAGTGTGCCGAAAACGCTTTATCTAAGTAAAGCTGTCTGATGAAATTGTATAATTTTATTGTCAATTATTAAATAATCATTAAATATTTCAGAATTCGTTTTTATAAGTCCAGGTCAAGAGTACCCTAAACCGTAGAGCATGTATGAAGGGAATAATGAAAGTGGACGAAGCAAAACAAGTATGTAACGATCGTAGCAAGTGGAAAGAAGTGGTCTCTGCCTACTCCTACGGGAAAGAAGTGTGATTATATGTACATGTTTTTATAAATGTTACATCTTGATAAATATGCAGCATTGGAAATGACAAAAATTTAAATTTTTTAATTCTTGTTATATTTGAGTGTAAACGATATGTTATTTTATTAATATTTATGATTTATTTTTACACAATTTCCAATCAATCTACACTAGATGGAATGAAATCGAAACTTCTGTAATCTTTAATAAATTAGGAATTTTACTTGTAGATATTGAAGAATTGTTAAAATCATTAAAATCAGTAGAGTTAACAAATAAATTTATATACCCCATAAGCTATAACAACTAAGTAAACATAGAATAATGTATAAAATTAAGGGAAGTCAAATAACATTTGTTTTAGAAATAAATACTATACAGCCATCCTGTTACCACTCCCTCTAAACTATAATTTTAATTCTTTAATACCCATAACTACAAGTAAAAGGTTCTGAAATGGTCTCGCTCAATCAGTCTTGCAATTACAAGGCCCTATGTTCCTGCACTATGACGACAAGTCACAACTTGCACAAGTTGAAGATGCTTGTATGAATGCTTTAATGAGATTCCCAGATAGTACGAGCTCCTGCCATCCAGTACCAGCCGAAAAGCAGATCTATGATTTTGGACATTAGTGATTTAATAAATCTTGAATATTTCAATAACCTTAAAATAAGGAAAGTGAAATAAAATATACTGTGAAAAATTTATAAATGTAAAAAGTGTTGTGATCAGAAGATGTCAATTACATCATTATTTATTAAAACAAAACTAAAAATTAAACCATATTCAAGCGGCATCTTTGAAAATTTGTAATAAATTGTTGCTTTTTTGCAAGCTTTGTTCTAGTGATATTTTTATAAAGATGCATTTTCATAGCAAATATCTATATAATTTTTTGTCTTTCCATAGTTACAGACACAATTTTATTAAGTGACTACCACTTTATACTATGTAGTTATAATTAAAAATGGCTGGTGAAATAATCACAAAGTGATGCAATGTTTTTTATTCAAAATGTATGGTTCAATACTTCATTACTGGAGTCCACTTGATACCTACTTAGAAATCACAAATTTTAGCAGCCGAAACTTAAGTACCATGATAAGTAATAAAATTACTCGCCTGTTGCAGTCAGAGGCACGCCATGAGCTATTTAATCGTTAGTAAGCAAGCATGGATAAGAGTACCTATCGAAGTTTTCTGCCTAGTCAAGAAACGTTCTTTGGGAAGTTCAATGATCTAGGAATTTGTGGATACTAGGAAATACATCCACTAGTTTCTTAAATTATCGTTTTTAGGGAATCTGCACCAACATAGCACTTTTCGTATTCCGTTAAGATAGTATACTTACAATATGCACACGACCAGCACAAAAACGGAATATTGTTATTTTCACAAATAACGGAGGAAACTTTGCGTCCAAGATGTCAATGCAACATAAATGCGAGGAAATACATTTGCGCTAAACTCATAACTCAGACTACAATACAATTAGATAAATAATGGCGGTCAATATCGATAATTTTGAATTTTGTCAATTTGATTTGACATTAACACAATATGGCGTTTTAAAATGGCGTCCGTAGCCAGAGAACAAATTGCGACGGTAGCGCCAAGTTGCATAGAATGGAACTAAGCTGTCACGGGCCTGAAATCAACTGCCTTAATTGTCTTCCCATGTTAATTTACAGATAAAACAATTACATATTTTAAAATATTATCACAGTGGCAGACTCGGTACCTACTATACTTTTATGTTTGAATAAGTCATATTTTTACAAGTTTTACACCAAGGCAACTCTAAACAAAAAGCTGGAATGACAAGAGAACTTAAAGAAACTTGGGTTCAAGAAAATAAATAGATTATTAAATTAACAAGCAGTCTAAATTCCGTGCCTCTAGCACGTGTATTGCTCTTTAATAAAAAAAAACTCATGTTAACCCGTTTTTTAAACGTGATAGAGCCATGCTGCAGCGATATAAGTAGTATAGTTGTAGCACGATTGGGTCAGCTCGACCGGGGAAGGACCACGCTCTCACAGAATTCCAGCATAAATTAGCAGCTTAACACTGGTGTGTTTCGTATGATAAGTGTAGAGAACCGGAGAACCTTTTTACTGGAAAAGAGGCATTCCATCTTAGTCCTCACGGGTGACAACGCATCTGCATTTTGATTCGCAAACGAGGATAGATGTAGATGTCTATGGGCCACAGCAATCACTTACCATCAGGTGGACTGTGTGCTCGTTTGTCACCATATCCTTTATAAAAAATACCCTAAGCACTTAAATAAAATATAAGTCTATAAAACTAACTTAGTATTTAACAGGTTTTACCAGATTTTTTATAAAACGACGGCAAATGTGTATAATGTTTTCAATCTAGCACCGAAAGTATAAACATGAATACCAAAAACCGAAACTATAGTTTCGGTTTTTGGGAGATAGAGTACAAAGTAAAACATGTTGCATATGGCTTTAAACAAAAATAATTTCATATTGCATGCTGTAATAATGTAGGTAGGGAACAAAATAATGTTAACAAAAGTTGTTTTGTTGCTTCTACGAGCGACATATTTGTGCATCTTATACTAATCACGTGTAAAGATGGTTAAATTTATTTAATAGGTAACAGTTATTATTAAAAAAATTACTGATAATTTTAATGGTTAAAAACATCAGTTAAGTTTATTTATTCCCAAACACAAAGATACTAAGTTGATATTCTTATGTATGTATTAGTTTCAACGAGTTGAATGATTTCTTTTCCTCATCATAAACTACACATTACCCTATTCAAAAATAAGTGATTTTTTTTAATTTACCACCTTTTATCGTAAGTATTCTTGCATTGTTATCCGAATTTGAGCTGTATCCAAAATTTCAAGTTTCCAGCTCATCAAGAAGTTAGTTTAAAATCTATCTAACTATGTTCCACCCGGAACTACAGATGGATAGACAGACAAACAAGAAAGTGATTTAATAAAAATAATTCCATCATATCATTTGTTATCATATCATATCTCTTTAAGAATAAATAACACAAGACTAAACTGTAAATGCACGATTAATTCAAAATGGTCCCACAGCATCTAAATTAGTAAGCTCCATTTGCACGTCAGTGCTGACACTCACCACTTTTTTAATTTTTGACAATATTTAATGCATTTCTCCTAGTCCTCCTTCCAAATAAATGCTAATGCATTATAAACTGTTTTTTTGCTTATTAATAGCATGCTTAGTTAGTAAAATTAAATTTTTTAACTGAAATTGTTCAGCTATTTCCAGTAGATGTAAGCAGTTACGTTTCATAATGTCTTTTACTGTCCCTGTATATAAAAACTCAAGCAGCAGTTCTAAATCATTATCAGTTATATCAATAAACATTATGTTTTCTTTTAGACTTTTGATCATATTTCTCAAAACTGAACTATGAGCAGCTAAAACAATTTTATGTGTTTTATACTCTTTTTGGCTTGGTGTTTTAATGATAAAGTCAGTCTTTTCCTGCTTCAATAACATATCCCCTAAGTCATGTTGAAGCTTTATTCTATTGGTAACTACATCCGTTTTTAAGCGTTTTGGATCCATTTGGATGGCAACTGGTATTACCAAAGTGTTGTGGTTCATCTTAGACACATCTGCTTCTGAGAAGCAAAACGTTTTTACAAAACTCTTTCCATTAGGTTGTATGGCGTTCAATGTTTGCCATGTCAATGTATCAGACAAAAGAGAGCTATTATCAACATCATTAATAATCTGATGTGTTAGTTCATCACCATTACTTATACCCAGAGAAACAATCCCAGATTTTCTATGGCACAGAAATAAATTGAGTAGATAGTTGTAGCCTGGGCATACAGAAGTGACATAAAAAAACCATAGATCTGGCTGATCTGCAGTATATGTGCCACCTATGTCATACTGACCTGGGGATTTTAGTTTAAGGCCAATATCATAAATACAAAGCTTTTTGGCATCTGCTGTTTGGCATTTCATTGTATTTAATGCAGACACTTCATTGTCATGCATCTGAAAAATTAACCATTAATTATTATTATTATTGGTGATATTTCTATTGTTTTCTTGTCAGGTTGGAACATGAAAACTATAGAAGATATATACTTAATAGAATAAAGAGCAAGAAACCAATGGACAATGTGTACAGTATCGAGGAGCACCACCTACTGCATTTGAGCTTGGAGCGGTCCGTCACATAGTTCCAGTCAAAAGCCCAAAAAGCTGACAAGAATTAATCCAATTAATTATTATTGTAACAAATATTTTTATTTATTTATTTTATTCATTATTATGGGGTATTTGTATAGTTTTCTCAACTGGTTGGGCTGTATAAATATATAATTGAAAATGAAAATGATAAACTTGATAATGTCGACCAAAAACATCCTTGACTGTGCCCGGTCCATAAGCACAATATCAGGCTTATTCGCAAGAATAGTCCTGTCTGTGATGATGGCCTGGTCCCAGTAGAGCCTGGCGCGGTCATTTTCGAACATGGCTTCCGGCAAGTACTTATAATGTGGCAGTTTCCAATCCACGAGACCGTATTTCAGAGCGAGCTCCTGGTGTAGAATACTGGCTACTAGGTTGTGTCTGTGCATTATGTGAGTTAGAAAGCGCCGAACAACCGGAGATGACATGCCTAAGTGACTCACCGGGATGGTGACAAGCTCGACAGATGTCGACGGCGCCATCCTTTAGGATGTATTTCCGATAATTGTTGGTCTTAATAACCTGATCCTGTATCGCACAGACAAAACCCTCGGTTTCCCCAAAGAGGTCACCGAAACGTAGCCAGTGGAGGAAGGCGACTGTGACTACGCAAGGCTCATGTAGAGCCTTGTAGAACCTCCCGTGGAGCTCCTTCTCCTTCCATACGGTCTCCCGGTCGGAAATGCTCTGTACTGCCGGGTCTTGCCATTGCTCGTTGGCTAAGGATAGAGGGGTAAGTCCTTTATCACAAGAAACAACGTCCCTATAGAATGGATCATCCGCTCTCGTCAAAAAGTCGTACGGAGGCTGCACACTTCGCGATTATGGATGGTAAGCGCGCTTAAAAAGCCACGTCCACCATGCTTCCGCGGCAAGAACATTCATTATTATTATTAATATATTATTAATTCATCATCATTACTGCCCATCACAAATCCACTGGTGAGCATAGGCCTCCGCCACAAAGCATGGTCTTAAGTCGCCTACATCCATCAATGCATAACTTCCCAGAAATTTACTCCATTTTAGTGGATGGTTACTTTACACTTGGGTTATTGGTAACAGGCTGTCATTTAGTGGTAAAATTAAAAATTTTGTACAACCGACTACAATATAAATATAATGAGAACATCATCAATGTAGTTGAAGTCAATTCAAAACGCATTATTAAGGATAATTCAAAAACTACTACTCAGATCTTGATGAAATTTGTATGGGACTACATAAGAAGCACCAGTTTCAAATAAAAAAAGAATCATCCAAACCGGTTCACCTAGATAAAAGTTCTGACCACCTCTTTTTTTTTGAACTCAGTTAAAAACCTTTCTTCTCTGGCCATTGTTGTCTTTTGTTTTTTCTTTTTTTTTAGAAATACGTTACCCCACACTAGGATTTTCTCCTGTATCGCAGAGGCAATTTACAAACACATATTGCACAAGCACAAACATCCAGACCCGGAACAATTATTTGCAGGCCATACAAATACTTTTTCCGTACGGGATGCGAACCCGCGGCCCCCAACGCAGCAACTCATTGCTAAGCTACTGCGCCACGGAGCCGTCAATGCATATGTCCTGCTTTATCAAGATGTATGGTCGTAAAAAAAATAATTAAAATTAATGCTTATCGATAGTGTTGAATCAGTAGTTTGTTATCACTCACCTTAATTTCATGTAAAACCAATATTCAGTACTTTTATTTCCTGTACTAAGATAACTAGTACTTCTTATTATACTTTGAGTAAAATAACATCAAAAATTATACATACATAAAGTTGTTATTACATTTAATCATACATATTTTTTATTTATACCATGGATTAGGGATGATCGATGATCATCGATGTCAAAAATGAAAACATCGATGTTGCCACATGTCAAACATCGTAACATACGTATGTATGTATATACATACATATAATCACGCCTCTTTCCCATAGGGGTAGGCAGAGACCACTTCTTTCCACTTGCTACGATCCTTACATACTTGTTTTGCTTCGTCCACTTTCATTATTCCCTTCATACATGCTCTACGGTTTAGAGTACTCTTGACCTGGCCTTTTTTCAAGACGTCCCTGATTTGGTCTAGAAATGTACGCCTAGATCTACCCCTTTCAACACTTTCATTCACCTTATACACTTTTTTCGTCAATCGTTCTTCATTCATTCTCTCGACATGGCCAAACCATCTCAGCATACCTTTCTCAATTTTTGTCACTACATCTTCTTTCAGACCACAACGTTTCCTTATCTCACTATTTCTTATCCTGTCACTCAGTTTAACTCCTATCATACTTCTTAATGCTCTCATCTCAACTGCATTTATTCTGCTTTCATGTTTCTTCTGCCATACCCAACTTTCACTTCCGTACATGAGTGTCGGAACCAACACCCCCTCATGCACAGCCAAACGAGCCTTGTTAGACACCTTACGACTGCTCATAAAGGAGTGCAAAGCTCCATTCACCATGTTTCCTGTATTCACTCTTCTTTCGATATCACTCTCACTCTTTCCATCTCTTGTAAACTTTGAACCCAGATACACAAACTCTTTCACCTATTCAATTTCTTCATCTTCAATCACAATATTGCAGTCTGTCACTGCCTCATCTTTTTTAAACACCATCACTTTCGTCTTCCTTACATTCATCTTCATTCCCTTTCTAACAAAAGCTCCACTCATAGCAGTTACCATCTCCTGCAACTCCTCGGCCGAAGACGCAAGTAATACTTGGTCATCAGCATAGAGAAAACATTTGACGAGTAACTCATTCATTCTCAACCCACTTTCATTCTCTTTTAAATCTGTCAAACAATTGTCCATGAACAGATTAAACAGCCACGGTGACGCTACACATCCCTGTCTAACACCTTTTTCGATATCAAACCATTCAGTGTATGCCCCGTTTATCCTTACACAATCACTAGAATCCCTATAAAGAGATTGCAATGCTCGTATGAGGATACTGCTCACACCGTTCACGGACAGTGCTGACCTCAATTCATTCCTCACCACTCCGTCATAGGCCTTTTCTAGATCTACGAACGCGCAGAAGACTTTCTTGTTTTTAGCCAAACACTTTTCGGCTATGCACCGCAAGGAAAAGACCTGATCCGTACATCCCATTCCCTTTCTAAATCCCGCTTGTGCATCCCATACTTTCTCGTCTGTTTCATTCACAACCCTTTCAATCAACACTTTCGCATACAATTTACCGACGACGCTGAGAAGGCTTATACCGCGGTAATTTATGCAGTCCTGCCGTGACCCTTTTCCCTTATACAATGGCACGATTACGGCTTTGCACCAGTCTCCCGGTACTTGCCCATTTCGCCAGCACAGATTGAAAATGCGGTACAGCTGACTAGCCACCAGGCCCTGTCCAGCCCTCAGCATCTCGACGGTAATCCTGTCATACCCTGCAGCCTTACCTAATCTCATACTTTTCAACGCTTTCACTATTTCATCCATGCTTATCTCATTTTCATCAACATTTATATTAGTTTCCGTCGAAGGTGGCAGATGCTGTACCTGCACTTCCTCTCTTTCAAACAAACTCTCAAAATACTCTTTCCATCTCTTTAACACACATTCTTCTTCTTTTATAATGCTCTCATCTTGACTCCTGATTATACTCAGCTCCGAGGTAGAAGTTTTTCCTCTGGCTGTTTTGATGGTTTTCCAGAAAAACTTAATGTTTGACTGGAAATCTTCAATGAGCCTCCTATCGAAATCATCGTTTCGTTCTTCTTTCTTTCTAGACACAATTTCTTTCGCTGCTGTTTTTAATCTTTTAAACTTCGTTCTTGCTTCCTTTATCTCGTCATCCGTTGCCTTTTGAACTTTTTGGTTAGCTTTTGTTGCTAACCAATCCAACCACGCTTTCTTCTTTTCTTGCACAACCCTTTGTACATCTTTATTCATCCACACGTTATCATTCTTTCTTCCTTTCCTTCTTTTAGCTACCCCGCATACCTCAATAGCAACATTTACGACCCTTTTCTTAAATGTCTCCCACAAATCTTCAATGACTCCTATCTCTTCTATCCCTTTAAAACTTTCTTTCTTTCCTCGTAACATCGATGTCAATAAACCCATAATCGAATATCAGGTACTTGCGAACACTGTGAACCCGCGAAATCAATATCAACTAAATCTTTCATCTCCTCTAAAATATTTAAAATTTTGAATAATTCAGAATGCTTGAACGCATCGATAACCTAAAAATATATCATTATGGTGAATCAAATTTAACTATCAAGTGTCAACTGTAATGTCGCAGTTGTCACTGATTTTCCTGTATAGGGCAGTTATTATACTCTTTGCTGATTTCGTTTTGTTATTGGCTGGTTGGTTGTGTGTTTCTTAGTCGGTTGTTTTTAAAAAAAAGCCGATAGTAGATCTTAAACACCATCCAATGCACGTTTAGAACAATGTTATTGATTCTACCTAATCTAAAATAAAAAATAAACTTGCGGTAAGATATTTGACCACAATCGCTACATCAACGTCATCTGAGCGGTTATCTACCGATTTCAAAAAGGACCACTAAAATGTTGAATATTTCTTGTTGCATATTAATGTATTTTAACAAAAACCACTTTGTTGGCACTTTATAATACTTTGTATATTTATTTTAATATAACAGACATATGTCTTAATAATATTTTATACTTGAATGTAGAAACAAAGAGGCGTTGAGCCTGCAATTGTGTTATCAAAAATCAAGAAAACCATATGTTTTTTTTTTAATGTATGTTACCTCATATTTTTTTCTGGGTGAACCGATTTAGATGATT